TGTACTTCCAACTATTTGACACCCACATGTAGTCAATTCTTGACTCACTGTTTCCGTTTGACCATGTAGGTATTTGTGTGTCTTTATATACATCAAAGAGATTTTTCTTCTTAAGCAGAGCCAAAATTTTCTTCTTTGTTTGGTGTTTTGCATTTGACTTGGAGAAGCTTGTGATTGTCAAATTCACTGTGTTGGCATTTAAATCTCCCATGATTAGGAGACGTTTCGGTTTTCTGCTTGGTTTTTCTAATGTATCCTTTAAGATATTAAAAATCTCTTCTTGCTTGCTGTATTGTTTGGAGCAATGTATAGAAAGATTATCTTTATCATGAGATATTTGAAATCTAGGACCAACTTTATATAGTAAGGATTGTCTCAGGTCAGGTAAGTAATGTGGTGCTCCCAATGCTTGTTAATTAAAACCCCAACACCTGATCCTTTTTTTCTTGTTTTCTTCTAAGCTTGCCCAAAAGCTTTTATATTTGTCTATATTCTTGGTTGCCTATTTGCCTTCAATATTCTCTATATTAGTTTCACCTAATTCTAAAATATCTATCTTTTTCTCTTCTGCATATTCTATTATCGCTTTTAATTTATTTTATTATCCTTAATGCCGTTTATATTATGAAACTCTATATTTAATAGCCCGAACTAATCATATCCCTTTTTATAATTTTCTAGTTTTTTAAAACTCTCTGGACTCTGCAGAAGTTGGTTATCTGGGGGTGTCTTCTGTTAACTCACTTTCTTTTCCTTCGTACACCCTGGTCTTAGTTATTAGTGTGCCTATGGCGCCTTTTAGAAGCAATCTGCAGGGGGGCCCCTGCAGCTTCTCCATGTAACTATGCATTTTGAGCTTCAAGCTTATCTAGCCTATTTAAGATTTGTGTCAAAGCGCTGAATATTGGGTTTTCTTTCTTTTTTCCTTTCACCTCCTTGCTTTGATATTCCTTTCCTTCTTGTTGATATAGTGGCTGTATATTTTCTTTATTTTGGTTCTTTTTAATTAATGGTGCCTTTTAGTATTTAGGTCTGTATTCTTACTCTCTTTACTTTGTATAGCTCTTTTTTTATTACTAGTCTTTTCTTTTTTTTTTGCTGCCATCGAAGCTATTTCCATTTTCCTTTTCTCAGGTTTCTCAGTCTCAAGGTATTTATTTTCTTCTAATTGGGCTAGTTTGCTCCATTTTCTATTTCAAGATTGCTCCATCTCTCTGTAAGGCCAGTTCTTGGTATAGTTTCTCTTATCTTGCTCTACTGTTGATAATTGCTACTCTAATCTTTTGTTAAAATAGTACATACTTGATCTTTGGGCTCGTATTATATCCTCTTCTCGCTCAAAATAGACATAAGCTCTCATGCTTTGATTACCATTGTTATTGTTTATTGTATGGGCTGCTTGTACCTTATACCTTCTTAATTGTTGCAAAAGTAAGCTATCTAATACTGTTTTTGGCACGTTGTTAATTGTGTATTTAAACTTGTCTCTTTCTTCAAGCATGGCTTTGTTGAATTTCCCCAAGGTAATTATGTACATTTTTTCTTGCCCTAGTACTGACCAGTACTTATTTAGTGAGTGGCTGCTTTTCTCTGTTTTTAGTACTACCCTTATATGTACGGCTCTTTTTTCTCCTCAGGTCTGTCACCATTCGAGGATAAATATTGTCCCGTAATAGTCAAGGTATAGCTTAATGTCTCTTCCACTTATATTTCGTAGAAGGTTCCAAATTGTTAGTAAAATAAGAAGCTCCTTTGTGTGTTGCTATGTGATTGCTTCTCTCTTGGAGGCCCAGATTGAGTTAAATATATCTTCGTAACTTTTTTGCTTTTTAGCTTGTCTTTTATCTGCACGTCTTTTTCATACTTTAAGCTTTTTGAAATTAGCTCCTCAAGGCCGTAGTCTGTCATGTCTACCTTGTTTTCAAGTAGTATCTCTTTTACCTTTTTAGAATTATTTTTTCACTATTACTGTTATTGTCTTGTTCTTCGAGGTTTCTTTTACATGAGGTTTTTTGTTTTACTGCAGATATACTACCAATATTATTACTATCTGCAATTGCCTAAATGTTTCTTTTGTTTGAGTTTATGTAGCAAAAATCTATCATAACTGGGCCGTCCTTACCCCGTATGCAAGTATTTAGGCGCATTTCAATATCTGTGTCATATTCCAGAAGTTTTTTCTCCTCCTCGGTCAAATTTTGCTTTTTGACTTCTTTGCTTTCTGCCCATTTAAACCTCTTAATTACACCACGTATAATTGCTATTAGCTGTATATTACTTGTATCCAGATATTTTGCTATATATACATCTTTGTTACACACTATTGTATATTGTTTGTCATATAGTAGTCTTCTTTCTCTTTCTGTCTGTTTAAAAAAACCTCTAAAGTCCTCTAAATTTGGCATTTTAAATCAATATTTGTAAGGTCGTGTAGCTTTGCTTTGTTACGTGATATGTATATAAATTCCATATTTTTATGTATTTTTATGTGTATTCATATGGGCCGATTTTGACTGATCCGGGTGATATAAGATTGTGATATCTCATATAGTTACACTAATCTGATTAATAACTAATAATAATGCCTTCGTCAAATACTTTTTTTTGCCACTTATACTCTAAAACATATTCAACAAGAAGGTCTTTGTTGTCTTATAAAGCAAATAAGCACCTATATAACCAGGTCGTACTTTATAGTTTTGGGTTTGAACTACCTTCAAGTTGGTGCTTGTACCAATTCTGGTCTGTTTTTCTTGCAAATATGAAGTCTTGTTTTCATACTTCCAAACAGCCCAGAACTTCAAACAGTTTACTATACACTGCCCTGAGAACCTTTTTTTTTATGTATTTCATCAAGAACCAGGCTTTGAATTCCAGCCAGCTAGGCGAAAATACAAGTGTGTGTATAAAGAAAGAGATGTGTACCAAAGAATCGGTTATATTTTTTTATATTCTCATTGGGGCGAAAAAAAACAAAAACAGGAAATGAAGTTAGGGTAAAGACTGAAGTTGAATTTGGATTTTTTTGGGAGGAACAAACGACTAATGAAAATTATAATAGAGAGATTTATACTTGGTCTTTTGGACTTTTAAAGTTTAAATTTAAGATATGTAAACGAAACGTAGTTATAGTTTAAATTTATTTTTTTTTAAAATTTACAATTTCTTTAAAATATAATATAGACATTTCATTAATATTATAATAAAGTTGCCAATTTTCATATGAACATATTTTATATGCTACAGGCTTTAAAGAACTGCCACTACCCATTGTAGTTCCTCCATAAAATAGTTGGATATGATCATGATTTTTTTTTTCAACACCTGAATACGAAAACCATTGTAAATATAAAATTTTCATTTTAAAAAATTTCATAAATTTTGGAATATGGCATGCAAACACATGCATATAAGGAGTAACATCATCATATTGATATAATCCCTCTTGTAAAATATTTCCTTCTTTAGTTTCAATTGTTGGCTGACAAAAATTTCTAACCCATTGTCATGCTAATATCTTTAAATTTGTGATATCATCATTTGTTAGATCAGCTTTATGTAATGTTTTATACAAAAAATAAAAATCCCGCCAAAGTTTTTAAATTTTTTTTCCTCTTTGACCCAAAATAAATAAATCAATTAGAAATTTTTCTAAAAGAATCAACTTATCTGGCCCTATTAATGAAGCCCAATGCTATCTTCCTTTTGAAGTTTCAGGTTCTTTAAATTTAAATATGCTAATGCCTAGTGAATGAATTATTGATTCAATTTGTTTTCGAATTGTTATATCAGTACTATTTTTTGATTGTTTATTAAATGTAAATTTAGTTGACAATTCTAAAAAAAACATTCAAATAAAACATCAGTTATTCGAAGTATAATGTGTAACTCATCCGGTATACAATATTGATTTTCTAAAAAGATTTGAATTTTTGTGATCTAGTGTATTGCACAAATTTTTGTAATTTTACCGATCAGTGTTTTTACAATCCAGTATAAACAAAAATAAATTGTTGTTGGTCCTTTAATACCAAGTACTAAAGATATAAATTTCTAATTGGAGCTAAACCAAAATTCAATTAGCCAATGATTATTTTTTGAATTAATAATTCCTTCTGCTTTTAATAATAATAATTCATCAATTAAAAAGCTAAAAGCTTGTTGAAGTAATTCATATTGTTCTGTACCAGTATAAAGTAAAATGCAATGCTGGTTTGATAGACTAAAACTGCATCATGTTCATTTAGTATACAAGCAATAAACATTACATGATTATGATATTTACCAACTTGTCGGCTATCTCCACTTAATTTAATATGAATAATGTCTCCTATTTGTAGGACTGGTGAATCATTATATGCCAATTTAAGAACTATAACATGTAAAATATCTTTAAAAGATTAATAAGCGCTATTTGGTATTATAGAGCCTACTTGAACTATATTAACAGAGATCATGCTGTTCATAATTCTTGTTATTTCTTGCCAACGTTATACAACTTTATATTCACATTCTATATCAGGCATAATAGCAGCAAGTTGGCAATATCCATTACGTGTAATTAAAAACTCATCGCAAGCACGAACAATTGAATTTAAATATTGAAATGGTTTTGGTTTTTTTGACTCTATATTTTGTAATCTAACTAACAACACATTTAAATTTAATTTTACATGTTCTAATTTTGCATCATGAAAATTATAAAAACTTATTGTAGATTTGATTTTATTGTGAATATCATGGGCCAATGTTTGAAGTTGAATTTTTTTTTGTAATTCAGACTTAAGTTGATAATAGGGTTTATTTTTGTTAATTTGAATTTGACTTCGACTTTGGTTCTGATTATCGATTCGTCTCCTTTTTAAATATTCAAGATCAAATCCAAAAAGTATTGTCCCGGACAATGATGATTTGTTATTACCAGTTACTTTCTATTTTATAAATATATAATAGTAAGTATAATATACAGTATAATACGTGTATAATAAAACAAAAAGTTAACTTAATTACAACTTGTAAAAATAAAGATACAATATTACTCACTGACTTATTGCTTGATACTGATCTCTTTTCTCCATTACTATCATCCTATATCACTGTATATATTACTTTGTTACTTGAATCATACTGGGTTTCAGCAATAGTATCTATACCATAAATCTTTACACCAACTATATACCTGTTGGGAATCAGATAATAGCTTCGTTGAGTATGCTTAACACATGATGGGTAATAGCCCAGGTGCCAAACTTTTAATTATATTCCTGCTTGCTTTTAAAACATCATGTTATATAAACATTCAGATATTTATCTATCCCTTAAATTGTAATACAGATAAATTTGCCTGCAAAAATTTTTACTAATTTTTTTAATATTTAAATTTTTTAATAAAATTTTGAATATTAATTTTAGCTATATACTTACTAAGT